ATCAAACACTTCAACGGCACTACACAAATGTCTCAATATATTTACTACACAATAAACAACCTATTCAATTCCAAGGATTTGCATGAGAAACGTGAGCATTAGTGACACTGAACAGAGACAAGTCTTCTGCCTCTCTGCTGAGGGAAAGCTTCAAACATGATCCTTTGTCAGACAGGATGGGAGACACAGAAACACAAGCCTCTCGCTTTTTGGCAGATCTGAGCTCACAATGCCATAGATTAGCAACAGCCTGACCACAGAGCTGAAATAAGCTAATTGCTTAATTAGTTGACCCAATTTTTTAAGCTTCTTTTAGCATATTAACAAGAGCTATGTAACAAACAGTTGTGTTTCACAGAGGTGGTGTTTGTTTATGGAATTACAATAATGAGGATCAAATACAAAACATACGGTCAATGGCACTCCTTTTATGGAATCTCTGCTTTAGAAAATCTATTTATTATTTGAGTTCAGCAACACTGAGGCGCTTTCTGTTTATGTAAAACTCAATTCAGCCCTTGTCTGATGCACATGCAGAAGATCCTGCTGCTCATTTGTCATTGACATTAGTTTGCGTCTGCTATCCTTCTATGCTTTTGTTTGTATGTTGTTGTTTTTTGTTGTCTGTTAAACTATTAAGCCGCTTTGGGGGAATAGTTTGACCGCCCTCAATATTTCTGGACATTTGAGCAACGAGGGACAAATGAGTGAAGGGAGAAAAAAAAAAATCTTATTAGATTGAATGATGATTGAAATGGATTAATTTACATTTTCAGCATGCATACTTTACATACATGATCTTTGCTCAGCACAGGGAGTTCTGGGCAAAAGAGCACTATTTGTATGAGATGAACTCATCTATATGCTAATTCATTGGCATGTAGACCTGCTTCATTCCTTCCATTCAGGACTGTTTACCTATTAGCTCTTATAGATGCAAAGGGAATTGGCATATTAAAACCAAAAAGCTAAGGAATACAGAGCATTAGCAGTACATCACCTCTTATTATATTTATATTAGGGTGGCATTTCTGCCCTTTGTTTAAGCTGAAACAACAACTTCCAAGACACTTATTACAAATAAAATAAGCCAAGTCTTTCACTTACCTGAGACTTGCCCCTGACAAAGGCACAGTGGGTTTTCAGAAGTCCTTCAAAGGACTAGAGCAGACTATACTATACTGAAAACCATATGAGCTCTCCTGATTCAAATGAGGAATGTTCTGACCCTCAGAGGGAGAACTACTTAGACCGTTTAGCATTTCACAAGTCGATTTCCAGGTTTCAAGGAGCTACAGTATAATGTTGTGTGCATCAGAATACAATTTATAACATTACATAGCACAATACCTGACTTAAATGTTGCCTAGAAACATTAGCATGGCCCTATAAGGAGACGTTTGACGGATCAAGTTACAAGTGATGCCTAAATGCTAATGTAATTTCATATGAACCAGGCTGAAAGAGATGTAATCAACCCATTCCTGATTCATACCACTGTGTTTAAGAGGATGACAACCCCCTTTCTTATTGTCTATGTAATTCACCAAAATTGCCACTTACAGCCACTAAGAGCAGGATGTTTCATCTCCAAGCTTCCTCTGGTCTTTGCTACTCATCCCATTTCTACTTCCTCCAAAAGTGCCACCACTTCATTAACCTTGCCAGGCATGGGATAAGAGAGGCAGTGCATCAAAGCTGCCTGCCCACAGAGAGAACAGAGCCCTGCATGGCTCCACTACACAGCAGCCATCACACACACTGGCAAATACACAGTCCGCAAACCATCCAACATGCAGAAAAGACCTTTTGTGTTCCAAACTGTCATTCAGAGCTGGGTTTTTATGTGTGTGCGTGTGCAAGACATCATTATGTTTTAAATTTAATTCTAAGGAGGGTGAAAACATTTACTTGTTCCAAAGGTTTTAAGGGCATTTGATTTGGAATGGAACGTAAAATAATTGGTCTGGGTCAGACTCTTCATTGCTAGACCCTGCAGACACATATTTATGGTGTCTCATAGCACAGGAGGTCAGGTACACAGCGCTGTCATCACTACTTAAAACCTCGAAAATGAGAAAATTAAACAAGAAAAGCATCAAAGCCAACTTCAGCCCGATGAGTAATAACTCCCGACTTCCTCAAAGCATGAAAGTAGATGGTAGGAAATGTATTAACTGAGTCACAATATTGTTTTACTTGCACCACATACAAATCTCTCTGGTGCATTTAATCCCTCTACCCACAGTTTCTCAGAAAGGAGGATATAAATTATTTTCCTTTGGTGGAAACTCTAAATCCCTGTCTGGATTCTGTTAAAAGGCTTAAAATGTCACTAAATGCCAAGGCTGAGACTCCTGCTAACACGTAGGTCTTTAAGACAAGATGTTAAAGCGTTGAAAGTTACCTGAAATTGATGAGGTTAATATTCTTATCGCAAACCGAGGCTTCCGTGAGAGTGGATATTGAAAATAGCCAGGTAACCCTTCATATTAGAGGCTATCACGAGGATTAGCAGTATAAACACCAATTACACATTTAATTGTTTATTGTCAGTTGTATTTAGAAAGCCTGCCACAGTGCATAAATTAAAAGGATTGGGATATAGAGCGGGGGGAATTTGCCACAATATGGTATCATCATAAGTATGTATTTCAGTGGAGAAGACAAGGAAATATTCCCCAAATAACAAGTCAAACTGCTGAATGCTAGGCTGTAAATGAGTCATTTACCATGAATATACTTCTCTATCCCTTTACGGTTAAATACATTTCCAAACCACGTTATAGGCTACCAGCATGGAAGAGTCTGTCACTGAAATTTGAAATAGAGGACAAAGGGCCACCGAGCAAATAGGTTTTTTTTTTTCGACACCATCCTCCGAGTTCTCTGCCAATGTGAATCAGAGGTAAAATACAGTGCATTAAGTCGACCTCTGAGGCAGCACAGAGGAGGGTAGAGTGAGACATTCTGCTATCTATTAAGACTTGCGTTATGTATATATTGTGTTTTGAAGGAATTTTACTGATCCACAAAACCAGCAGGAAAGGATAAGAGTGAGTCCCTAAGACCATGTGGTAAGCAACTGCAGTGCAGAATCTCAAGCAAGTTGAAAGTTGCTGTGCCGTTAAGGAGAAAGTCTGGCAGAATCCTGCATGCCCGCTGATAACATGGTTGGATTAAGGATGTTTAAGGGAAGTGAAAATTATTCATTTGAGATGGATGAAAGCTGCACTTGTCAAGTCTACCAGTCATGCACTTTATACATTTCATTTCCACTAGCCAGCATGCATAATTTCCCCTCAATGCAAATTTCTACACACTGAAAATTGTGAGCATATTTACCCCGCTGCCTTAACACATTCTCTGACACAGAAAATGGATCATCTCTATTGAACAGGGACCAAAACAATGCAATTTTGTTTGCAGAGGTGTGAGGATCTAATTTTGTGCAGGAAGATAAAGTCACAAGACTCTGTAGAATACAAACAATGGCTTTCATTTGAAATCATGCCAGAATTAAGAAGAGACAATGTTTGGTTGCCCTGCTCATCAGAATGACATACATGGAAATAATTTTGGCAGTTATCTAAAAAGACTTCACGTTTTGAGTGTAATTACTGGTTTTAAGTCTTAAAAGTCTCGGCCTCAGTGTTGGTCCTTGCCACCGAGTATATATACATACACACACACACACACACTGTACATCTGTCTCTCTATACAAATATTATGATATCTCTGATGAGAATTAAGTCTGCAGCCTGGATGGCCAATAAATTAGAGGCACGCTTCTCGTTTACTCATCAGAGCTAATGAGCCTGATAAAATTACCTCGAGGATCATAATTACAGGCTAGTGGCAGAGACTCTGGCAGGGACTGGAATAAGATGACACACGCACACACACACACACACACACACACACACACAATTTAGATTGTGTTGAAAGTGGCAGCGTACAACAGCTAACCTAAAGCGTCACAAAGCACTCACGTCTTATTAATAGAACAACAGACTAATATCAATGTGCACAAGCAAAGATTATACATTGTACATTTTCATTCAGGGAGCCTAAACAATTTAGCTAATGAGACCTATAGAAACCAGTCTTGTTTGACATCACCACATTTATATTTTAAATGTACTGGATTAACATAATGTAAGGTGCTGAACAATATTACAATATCCACCTTTATGTCAGTTCAAACTGATTTTACCACCGTTTCATAAAGACTAAGCACTTCATGGGTAATGGCATATTTTAATGAACGATGGCAGCCTGGACACAAGAGCTCACCTCAGAGGATTCCATTTCATCACACATCCACAGGATGAATTGTTTTACTTATGAATATTAATGTCCCTCTAATTTGAGGCTGTTGTTAATGCTTGTCGCTAGGAGCTTGGCAAATCAGGTCCCATTCCTGTTAAAACCATGTATTAGACACCCCCCTGACACTAAGCCCTCGCCTTTGATTCTTAATTGCAGTAGTGCAAGCATTTGCAGTAGATGGGGCGCAAAGCTTTAATTAACTCTAATATCACACATTCAGTCTCGACTGTCACCCACATCATGCATGGCATTTTGTACCAATATCATCCCCAACTCTGCTCAGCTAGAAAGATTGTGAAGTTCATGATCACAATTTCATGCATCTCAAAATGAAGGATATGTAGTTTATAAGTAGCTGTAATATATTGACGCCAGTAAATTATCTTGATGTCGTTCTAAAAAATAAACGTATTAAAAGCATGCATTGATGCAGCTCTGTGATTACCACACAGCATTAATGCAAAGGAGTCGCAGCATTGTTGGTTTCTTACTGAAAGCAACGTGTGATCTTGGCAGTCGCTGAATCATTGGTGAAGCTTGAAATATGGGAAGTGGTGTGATAAAAAGTTCAAGGATGTGTTTAAATAGAAAGATGTGTGCCAAAGGAAGCCGTTAAGTAAATAAATCAACCTCTCATACATAGTAATCTTCAAAGGATTTATTGGACTACAGATTTCAAGTTTAAAAATATTATAAATAGAGTAAAAGTATATTCAGAAACACTTAAAATGCAACATTACAGTACATTCCTCACAAACACTGCGAATGCCATTTTCACACATGAATGACTCCAACCAACCTTTGAACATTTTAATAGCTCAGGTACGGAGCATTTCTGATGGAGATATTAGTAAAGAGTAATGTTTAATTAAACCCGGTTTGAAGATAAGAGCTCAATACAACATATAGTTTATAAGCCTTCCCCGGCCTCTACCTAATCCTCTTTCACATAACATTATTGCATCAGCACAGCTGAACATTTTTGCAGCATTTATAAAATTAGCAAAGAAATTAACTGTCCGTACTGTGGCAAATTGGATTTCCAAGTTCTTGCCTTGTGATACAGCATACCCAGGCTGCCACCTACAGTACAGCGGGAGAGGGGAACTACAGCCTGCAACAACGCATGTGTGGCTCTCCATTTTACACTCCACAGCCATTCAAACTAAATTGTCAAGGCGTTTTCCTCCTGCTAATATCCTTACAGGAAATTTGTTAAAATCCATTATTAAATAAATACTGAAATAATTTCATTTTGGATCAAGACTGTTGAAGGATTACACATTTATTCTAACTCATATTTGCATGTGGAACCGCCAGTGTTCCCTCTGTAATTTGAAAACCCTGATAGCTTATGTTTTTAACTCCCGACATCCAATTAGTTTGACCCAGTGCAAGTTGATTTGCTAAAAATTAACAATTACAATCCAATCATTCAATAAATATACAGAATCTTTACCTAACAAATATATCCGTGACTAAAGAATTTTTTGTGACAGTCCTCTACTGAAGTGAAATTAATATAAAGGAAAATACACACATCTGCATTTCACGTAAATAAACTGAAAAACTATTCTGAAAAAACGTGACACCCATTGTGAAAGCAAAGCTTGAATCATTTAGAAATTCTAACTTTACTTGTGAATAACAGCAAAGAACAGAAGGTGAATGTTGAACATAAATACAATTTAAACATAACTTTTAGCGTGAAATATTCTGAAACAACTAGAAACACGTGATTTTATCCATTACACTTCTTTATTTGACATCTCTTCATTTGCCTTCTCATTAGTACACTATGCACTGCAGTACTTGATTGTAAAAACCTTGAAACATTTTAAAAGGGGGGATGATAATGTAAATTTAGTAAAAAAAGCACCTTCATTCCACTCGTCTTTTACTTCTTCGCCTGAACAGTTTTGAGATGGAGGATTTCCTCTTATTTTTGGCTTTCTTTACTCCTATTTACCAAAAAGATCGTGCATATTAGAATGCATTCAAATTGGAATATCATGTCTAAAAGAAAAAGCCTTTCATGCAATACTTACCAAGATTCTGCATCATTTCATTAAACTGCTGATCCTCCTCCACTTCCCTGAATTTGATTTAAAAAAAATAAAACTCTAGTTTAGCATTTAGTCTTATTTGCATATCAATGTGTAATATTCCGAGTATCGCTCTGCATTACTGATCACTCATGTAATGTACAAATGTGTTTTAAGATGGATCGCGTTACCTCAGCCTGTCTTCATCCAGACCCTCCACTATTGCATTTCTGCCGTCCACTATCTCCACCAGTCTCTGCATCAACTTCTTCTCCCGCTGTTGCTCCTCTCTAGACTTTAAATGATCTGCAACATCACGTTTACACTTTTTAGAGCTGAAAAAAATAAATCTAACAGAGGGGATGTTCAGAAGAGAGTCTGATCTCTACCTGGCTTCTCCAGCAGCCTGCGAAGTTCCCCCTCCACACCTGGCTGCTGCTGCTCCAGCTCCTGAGTCCTGGCTCTGAGATATGCATCGAGTTATCACATGTATTAAAAAAGTAAACCTCGTTAATTATGAGCAACACATGCAGCTGAAATATTTTGAAAATAAATTTGGTTTGACAGTTAATAAATTGGAATTATTTCTAGCATCATACAAAAAGAGCATAGGAACAATAAATACCATTGGAGAATATTTCAGGGCAATAAGTTATTTTGTATAATTAAAAAAAGAAAATCGCTTTGGCACAAAGTTGAACAGACTGCAGTTAAAAGCTCCCCAATAGAATCAATTAAACCAATACTATGAGATGATTAACGCTGTAGAACAACTCACATGTATACAAGCTCCGACTCGTTCCGAATGTACATCTGCTTCTTTTGAATCAAGTTGAACCAGTCGACCATCAGTGGGTCGATTAATATATCTCCCTCCCCCTCTGGAACACAATGCAACATTTATTAATGTTAGTAAGATACAATTCGTGACCCGTGACAATCTTTTATGAAGTTCTATTATCTAGGCACTAATGTGTGTGTACATACATGCATACAAATAAAAAATGATAACACCTTTCGACCTTGCAGACATTTCTGGAAAATGTGCATTTACTTTCCAGTTTAACAGAGTTCAACTAAATGTTTACTTGTGAGCGAAGGAAGTTCTGCAGGGACAAATGAAGCTCAGCGATTTCAGTGTTCAGATGGCAATATTTATCATTTTGGCTCAGTGCGCTCCTATATATAATACAGTGACTGAGGTTATAGCGCAAGCTGAAGAATAATTGTGTTCATTCCCATTTAATATTGGTCATTTAAAAAAAAAAAAAGTTATGATTTTATTCAATATAACAATCAAGAAGCCTCCCCTCATCCAGAATCACAACACATTTTATTTTGACTAGATCAACTCCTAGTTTTCATACGACTGTACTAGACACACAATAATACAATTGAGTGCAATAATAAATGAGGTTTTGGGTTTATCTGGCTGCAGGATTGTTGAGATGGAGGGTGACTCCCCTCCCATTTCACTTCACTTACAGGACTGTAGCAGTCGATAATACACAGCCCTGCACCTTAGGTGTAGGTAACCCTAAATCGGATACTTTTATCTTAATTTAAACATTACCGCCATGTGCTGTAGAAGATATGTAGAACGGTTAAGAATTAAATTAATATACTGTGTAGTTAACATCATCAGTCATCCCCACTTTTGGTGACTAGACTTTAGCATAGAACATAACTTTCATTTTTCTCACTAAAAGCTTGGGCAATTATTTTATTTGACCCTGGGTTTAATTTATTTTCTAATACACCAAAATGATAAGTCAATAAGACAACTAACTATTTCAATAACTGATTCATCGCTTACATAAACACCAAACATTCTCTGGTTGCAGTTTCCCAAATGTGAGAATTTGTTGCTTTCCTTTGTCAAATATGAAGATAAATATATCTGGGTTTTAGACTGCTGGTCACACAAAACAAGCATTTTAGATGTCACCTTAGGAAATTATAATGAACATTTCTCAATTTTCTGACATTTTATGTAAAAAAAAAAAAACATGAATTGATTAATCTTAAATAAAATAATAATTAGTTGCAGCTCTACAGTAAATACACAGGCCCCTGCATTCCCATCTATAGTATAATTCCTCATCCAAACATGATCTAAATATGCAAGTTAACATGCAGTGGATGTAGAGCAACACAGAGGGAATACATGATGAAGCACAGATTTGTCTTCATCACTTATTTAATAATGATTTAGCAGAAATCCAGTAGGGATTAGCTTTAATATATTTAAACCCAAAAGGTGAATCCAAAACGTTATAGGCCGTTTAAATATTTCCCTAAAGCAGTATTCATGGTTTAGGCATTCCTTCAGTCCACCACTTTATTATGATATGCACTGCAACACAGCTTGCATTTTCTGGAATACTTGAGTAGGTGGATCAATAGATTTTTAGAGTGAATATTAGCCAAACCCAATTAGTTACTAATCCATTAAAACACACACCAAAGTCACATTTACAATAAGGACAGATCAGGACTGGGACCGATGACAAAACAGTCTACATTCTGCCATCACCAGAACAAATGTGATTTTATTCTGAATTAAACTTGAGTGCCAGGGTTGAGTTTTTACAACGATAAGTTGAGCGGTAGACGATCTCCTAGGTAGTGTGCAATTGATGTCAAATCCTGGCCAAGCGATTGCATGCTCAGGCTTCCTGGTTGGCGAATAGGAGAAGAAAAAAAAACAAAAAAAAAAAAAAGAAAAACTACGCAATCGACCAGAATATATATTACTATACCCAAGTCATGTTGACCTTGAGCAAAGCAATCAGGCCCCCTGCTCCCACTACCTCAAAAGAGAAGCAACATCCCTGTGGGCTGTCTGTTCCTCTCACCTCATTTGGCTGCAGAAACAGTAATAGAAACGGCAGATCTCTCTCTCTCTCACACACACACACACACACACACCTTGGTGTGTGCCCCGTGTGAGGCAACCAGGACACAACTCTGCACCAGAGACGCTCTCACTGAAGCAGCAGTGGGATTCAGCAGTTTGCACAAATACAATAAATATCAAAGTTTGTGTCAAGTTTATCCACTGCAAGAGAGCAAAACTGACCATTGAATCTACAACTTCTGCCTCAGAATAAGTGAGATTGATGGAGTGTGTATTCTCAAAAATTACACAGCTTGTTTCCGACATGTCAATATTCAATTTTGTGGGCATGTCTAAACAAGGACATGGAAGAGAATGGAAACTAGAATTACCGCCTTGTGGTTGTATGCCTCACCCAGTGTATGCAGTTTACATCCATGTCTGTCAGAAACGTCATCGCTACATATAATTGTATCTTTTAAGACATTTGTGTGAAATTGTCACAATTAGCATATGAATTCTTGAGTTATGGACAAAAATGTGTCTTGGGAGGTCAAAATGACCTTAAATCACCAAATTCTAATCAGTTCATCTATAAATCCAGGTGGACGTTTTTTGCCAAATTTGAAAAACATTCATTCGAAGCATTCCTGAGATATTGTGTTCATGAGATTGAACCGGACGTACGTATGGACAGACGACCCGAAAACACAATGCCTCTAGCCACGTCAGTTGGGGCGCGGAGGCAAACAAAATTGTTGCAGAGGAAGAGTGACCGGAATAAAGTACCTTCCTCGCAGCTGCGGAGTTTCTTTTCCAGCTCCACACCCTCCTGCTCCAAATGAGCCAAGTTTGTCTCAATATCATTCAGGTCCCTCTCAATCTGCTCCGCTGGAATGTGATAAGACTTCACCTGATACAAAACAAAAGAACTTAAGAGTCAAAGTATAAGTAGAGATAACTTTAATTTGAAAATTACGACTTTGGACACTTAAACGTAAAGAAGGTCGTCCATTTTTTACTGGGAATATAATGAAAGCATATTTGTAGAGCTGTTAATTAATCTCTTAAGAGACTTAATGGAGGGAACTTACAGAGGGTGACCTCATTTCAGTCCTGGAGGCGTTGGTGGGTGACAAATACTTTCCCTTTTTAGCACCTAAGAGGTAGATAAAATAGGATTAGATAGTCCTTTCATGGCAGCTTTTCAGAAAAGCATTGTCACATACGACTTCACCCGATTTATTTTCAGTAAAAAAAATGACTGCTTAAATGAAATCAACAAGATGGCTTCGGCCATGTATGTGTGGTTTTGATTATGACATTTAAAAAAATCTGAGAACCAACCTGACGGATTTCTGTGATTGGCTGAAGCAGTCGATGAGCTAATAGATTCCACAGCTGGCCGTCTGTTCGGGGATTTCACAGGCGAGTAACTCTCATGTTTGAAACCTAAAATAAGGACAAGAAGGTTTACATGTTGTAGATCTGCAGAGAGCTCAATCTGCTCATGTTTGTTCTAGCCATGCTAGAGGAGTGTTGGGATCGCAAAGTTGGGCTGTCAGTCATATTTGGGAATTGTGTAGTAACACCAGAATCTATAGTACACACACTCAGAGCACACAGTTATTTTACAGTTGCTTGATATAGCATTTATAAATAATATTTTTTTTTTTTCACAAAGCATTATGGTCTTTAAAAATAAATAAATGCCCACACTAACTCTTTTAACACTGAACAGGTAATGGTATCCCAAGCATCTCTTTTTTGGTGCCGTTTTATATCCACTACTGACGCTTAATATGACAGTTTGCTGTTCACTTCCTGCAAGTAACTCCACTTCAGAACTATTTAAGTTATTTTAACATGTGGAGTCCAGCGCTTCACTTTCTTTAGACTTTTATTCGGACATTCTCAACTTTTCTTTTCAATTTCCAACACAACTATGCAGTATCATGCCCTTCTGTGTGGATGGCAGCCTGTTAACCTATATGCTAATTAGGATCAACTGTCAATTGGAGTCATCATTACAAGAAAACAGGTACGAACATTTCTGTGGTTTAAGAGCACGTCATGAATCTGACGTGATGAACAAAGATATTGGTGAATGAGGCCCAATGTTTAGCTGTTCGGACAAAACTTTGCTGTTTTGGTTCACTGTCACCGCTCTCATGATGCCAGCAACAGCAGGCAGCTGTTTTTAGCAAAAAAGCTAACACAGTTAGCGACTAGCTGGTGAACATAGTGGAGAATTATGATGACATAAGAAGCCAAATATTTCCCTCAGGGATTGGTAAAGACCAAAAAGCTTGCTAAAAGACAGTGGATATTGGACATTTGCAAATAGTATATTTAACACATACTACATAACATATATAGATTGTAACATTAGTCTGCCTAGACAAGTTTAAAAAAATAGTTACGTGTACTATATTCTATGCCACAATGCACCTTATTGAAAAATAACACTGACGACAATGAGTGTAAATTCTAGTAGAAAATGATTATAGTACAAAAAAGGTACTCACCAAGGTTTCCAGAACCAAGCTGAGGTTTCTGTGGATAGATTTCCCTGAAGTGTTCAGGATCGAACAGAGCAAAACTAACTGGAGGTACTGCAGGTGTTGGCGCTGAGGGAGGCCTCGTTGTTCTATTGGGGACATAAGAGGATGTTGTGGACTTGAATCCAGATTTATGTTGCTCAGTAAAGGCTTCAGCATCTCTGTGAGAAAGACACAATGAAATGACCCTTTAAGTGTGTTACCATTTTAAAACAGTGTAAAAGTAGCATTTAATACACCTACTGTGTAGGCTGAGCTTGAAGAATGAAAATATAAGAACAGGCCTCACCTTTTACTTTGTAATGATAAAGGGTAGGGATTGGAGGAATCATCAGCAGGGATTAGAAATGAGAGAATCTAGTGTTAGAGTGGGAAAGGTTCAGGCCCGGCACTCCCTTGGGCTTGTTAGGATGGGGGACAGAGCTAGCTGCTGCACTCTCAGCCAGTCAACATTAACAGAGACGGAAGAAGCTCGGCGATTCTGCATTCTGGAGAGTGAATAAGCTGAATGGTCAGCGTTTTTTGAAGACAAATCTTGTCCACCTGTGTGACATTCCCACGTCCACCTAGTGAGTTATGAGGCAATAGTGAAAATTAAGAAGATTGAGGATACTTACTTTAAACCTAGCTCAAGTTTCACAGGTTTGAGCTTCAATTGCCCCCAGACTGGATCTGCAGACAAATGATTTAGACAGAAGAAGTTGAGGGAATGACTTAAAAGCAAAGCTTATCTCTACTTCATCCGTCACTTGAATTTGAGATCATTCCAAATTTCAAAACCAGTGGGACAGTGTCACATTGACATCTGCTTTAGCACTCAAAATAGTTCAACTTCTTGAACACAGTAAACAAAAGACTCCCTATAATCGTCTCCTTGTCACACTCGCATGAACAGCTCATAATAAGTGCAGCTACTGGTTTCATTATCTAGTCTCTCACAATAATGCCCTAACGTAACTGATTCTCACCTGCATATCTGTATTAAAGACCCAAATTAGGCTCTAATCTGTGCATGACACAAGCAGACAAAATTCCTAAACTGTTACATTACATTTGAGGTGATCTCTATTTCCAAACAAGTTGGAGTAACGGTCAGTATGCGATCCATATTAACATGCAACATAATTACTTTACATGATAGGAAAACTTCTGTTTAATGAAAAAAAAAAAAAAAAAAAAAAAAAAAAAAAAAAAAAGAAGATTTGATGACCATTTCTATTAAAAACCAACAGTAATTGTGTTTCCGTCTGAAAATAACCCGACTGTCAGGATGCTGCACCCATGCGTACACGTCTATCCGAGGAGTGACAGTTCAACTGTGACAGTTCAACTATGAAAGTTCATTAAAAGTGTGGGACAGAAATTAAAATGTCAGTATCCACCATTGTGGCCACATCGTGGCTGTATAAATAGGGCAAAGATGACAAAAGGGCTTTGTTTTCAATGAATGCGTTGTGAGACAGACAGGAAGAATGAGGGTGGGGGTGGATGTTGGCTGGATGTCAAATAATGGATCAAGAACAACTGAAATGAATTTAGTAGCGCTTGCCTTTGGCAGTTGTGTGTACAGTTGTTGGCTTTGTGTTGTCTTTGTTGATGGCCTTCAGACATGGCGGTTCCTTATTGTTTGTCTGGCTGGTGGAGAGCTGTCCTGCCCAGTTTCCTGCTGGGACTTGGCTGCATTTATCTTTTCTCAAACCAGGGCTGTCAGCTGAACTTGGCTCATCTCCAAACCTGCAGAGAGGGGAAACCCTCACCATCAGCCTTTATAACAGAAGTCATTACAGAACTATACAGACAGTGGGACAGACTAGAAATATCCAAATACTGCAAATCCATTCATGGCCACAGAAAGTATACAGTACAATACTCACCGTCTCTCTGCTGATCGGATGGTGAATGGGCGTTTGTTGTTATTGTTGCAGTTTTCCTCTGCCAATTTCTTTCCAATGGTTGTCCTGGCTCTGCTCTTCTCATCATCAGGATCCAGTGGGACCTTTGACCTTCCTAAAACACTTGAGGGCTCTGTAGGCTTCTTGTTACTTATCGAGGACTCTATGACTGGCGCTGCAGCCTGAAAAAACCTCTGCCGGGCCGTCTGCGTCTTATGGGCTGAGGTCGTCCAGGACTGGGAAGGTGGAGTAGGACTGACTGGCTTCAGGACAATATTCAGAGGGGCTGACAGCACAGAAGATGGGCGTGGTGCAGGCTGAGTCCGGCTGGGACTATTTAGTCGCCCAGCTGAACTGGCGGGTCCGTTCTTGATCCCTGCCTTGGAGGAGGATGGCTTGCAACTGTTCTGGTGGGCGTTACAGATAAAAGTATCTGGATTCTTCCCAGGTTTGTAGCCTCCTGCATGAAGGACGCTGGAGCATTCACTGCATCTGGTGGAAGTTTATTAGCATGAAATAAACAGTACACAACAGGAAAGTATCAATGAATATTGATTCCATTCTTACTTGAAACAGCTTCTGTGATAGAGCTTGCCTTCCACAAAGTGCCTCTGAACCAGATGAACATGGCTCTTGCATGCAACACATTTGCTATTGAGAGTCCCATTGTTGTTGGTGTTTTCTGCACGAACTGCTTTCTGTGAAAGAAAACTAAAACTGAGCTAATGCTCCATCTAAAAAAGGTATTTCATTTAACTTATCAACTAACCCACTGAAAATAAACAAAATCCTCCTTGTTCTGATAGATAGATAGATAGATAGATAGATAGATAGATAGATAGATAGAGATATATAGAGATAGAGATAGAGAATCGAAAACAGTAATAGTGTAAGACAAAGATGTACTGTAAATACAACCACAATTTAAAATGTTTGAGGATATGTTCTGACATGAGCACTGACCTGAACAGCAGCTTTGGCCAGCTTGGGTGAGGTCTGCGCAGTGAGAGTGGAAGGTAAACGGTTCTCAATGGAGTTTTTAGACACAAAGCTTTTGGCCACCACTGGGAGATTTTTCTTCTCCGACGGCTCCTCATTGGAGCCCTCTGCTGGCCTTTTTACACCTCCCACTGAGGAAAAGTAAAACACTATCAGTGTCAATCATCACACTATAGCACAAGAAAGAACTGGCAACTCAAACATATCTACACAGTTGCTAAGGATATTTGAACCAGCCATACTCTCACTGGGAGGCCTTCCTTTGAAGTAGTTGTGGTACTGGGAGACGTAGGTAAGAATGCTCAGCCTGTCTGGGATCCTTAAAGCCACCATATCTTCTGCATCTAGCAAAGCTGGAATCCCCAACTTCTCCTCTGCGACCTGAAAAGCCTTAAGAACAAAATGAAACAGTTTAATAAACAGCCCTTTGCTCATTTACTGTTAGTGTATGATGCCGTATAAAAAACATGTTTTTTTACTGGGCTCTGTAATGTCAGCTCCTACAATTACAGCATGTGTAAAAATGTCAGACAATACAATCTACTTTAATTAGACTAGAAGTATTCTGTGGCTCGGCCCAGAGAGGTCTGTATAATGAATGGCACACTTCCTGTGAGCTCGTAGGGATAAGAAAGGGAATGGAGGGAGCAGGATATCGGGGCATTGTTTAGGATCAGCCTGGACATGCTCATTAAATTTAAAGCAAAGCCCTACTGAATACCAAGTCTGTCTATATAAAAAGAAGAGCACAAAAGATAAAGAATGTGAGGATCTGTTTTGCTGGTGTTCCCACAAACACACGCAGACAATCTCTTATTTAACAACTTGTAAAATAACCACCTGTACGAAACATGACACTTTTCATGAAATATAGAAGGGTGTGAATTACTGTAACATTCACATTCTCATGTTTCGGTACAGGGAGCATCGTCAACAGTTGATCAAAACTAAAACCTGATAAAACATTATTCTGTGGACACAAATCTTGTTTAAAGTTCCTCTTTGCAACATTCAAGAATTAAACAACAGTGGCTTCGAGTGAACTGTCATCGTCAGGATCAATTGCCAGAGGATAGCAAGCCTCATTCAAAATGAATAGCCTGGAGAGCCTCTCCCCTGAGCTCAGGTTTGTTGCCGACACTGCCAGGATCATCCAAGACAACAAGGACGTCGTGCAGAGTGCAGGGCCTGTAACCCGCCGCAGGAAGCTGGTAAAATGGAAGAAGACTAAACAATGGAGAGGTCCCAGTTGTGCTGCTCAGGAGGTCAAGTTGGGGTTAACAAAATAAATGAGGTCAAGTGGACAGAAGCAGAGAAAAGATTCAGAAACATTAAGTTTGAGAGGAGTCTAGAGAGGAGTACTAGAGAAATGTACTTTCTACCAAGCAGCTTCTGCTGAAATTGCTCTGCTGGTAAAATATTGAAACAGCTAAATATAACAATATGCTTCAAACAGTAAATGCCAAGTGGAGAACAAACACATTGTGTATCTCTGGGTGTGCCGTCATGTGTAAGGGGTTAATGAAGGGGATGTTTTATGTTACTTCAGATTTTGAAGCTCCACTATGATCTCTGTTCTACACAATGCGGCAAAACGTTCGACAACTTGACATCTTACCAGTCTGTTGTTCTCAAACACATCCTCCTCTTTGAGTGAGTCATAGTCTCTGGGAAAACAGAAATACAATGAACGGAGAGAGAGAGAGAGAGAAGTTAGTCATAGTGGTGAGAACATCATCTGAAGAAGACTTTGAGGATTTTAAAATAAATATTAAAGATATATTAAAAACTAATATAAAAGAAGGTTACAGTATCAAATGTTACACATGATAGGTTTCCTTATAAATGATATGCATAACAGCAAAACAAACAGCCCTAACTAAATAGGTCTCAAGATTACAAAATAGGGGGGGGGGCAATACTGTGTACCAAAGACATGTATACTCCCTTGTAAAATAATTTATTGCAGTTTATCCAGTTTGCCCCACGACTCAACAACGGCAGGCAACCAAACTCCGGCAGAATATCAGCTCCTAAATCACATTTCCAAAGGTTAAAACTTACATCAGTTCCGGTCTGTACTTGTGTATAAGCGCACAGAAAGCCAATCCGTTCTTGAATGAGGTCGTCATGTTGGTGATGGCCACATCTCGGTAGCCATCACACTGCATTTTACACCACTGCTCCAAAGCCTTGATGGCAGCCATGCTCCCAGCGCGACAGACAGAGACACTGTTCCCTCGGTACAGACGAAGTGTGCAACAGGCGGAGGTTTCAGCGTGGAGGAGTCGGAGGAAAGAGCGGTCAAAACAAAGTGCGTCTGTTCAGGGGTTGGTCGTGAACTGCGGCGCTGCAGCTGTGTCCTGTTTCCTTCTTTTACCTGAATGCCAGCCGGACTGCGGGACGAGCTGGTGGTGTGCGTTTCTCCGCTCATTACACTAATTGACACCGACTGCTGAATCGTCATTAACAGCAGTTGAATACAACGCGACTGAAACGCAAATAGTTTATCTGGTGTACATAATTTTTTTTTTTGCAAACTTGCAAACTGAATAAATGCTGATATATTCATAAAGTCAATTTGGTATAGTACAATTATCTTTTTTAGGACTTTTTTGACGTACTATAATATGACTTTTGTCTGGCTTTCTTTAACATACTTTCGACAGACAATAAAATTACTTTTTTCACGTTTTTCCATGTGCTATACTATGACTTTTTTATGACTTATTTTGACATACACTACTATGACTTTTTTAGACATACTATTCCGTGTCTTTTTTTGACAGGCTTTACTATGACTTTTTAATGATTTTATTAGACATACTACACTTTGACTTTTTTATAACTTTTTTGACATGCTATACTATGACTTTTTCATGATCTATTTTTTTTAGACAGAATATAAAATAAAAACAATTGTGACATTTTGTCATACCATACTATGACTTTGTTCGACATACTACACTATGACTTTTTGTGACTTATTTCGACTTAATTGTGACGTATTTATGATATATTTGTATGGCATATTATACTATACCTCTCTTAATTACATACTAAATTGTGCCATTTTTATTGCACACTATAATGTGACATTTTTAGTGCATTTTCTATGAAATACTATACTATGGCATTTTTAAGGAATATACTATGACACTGTTTGTGACATACTATATGCCATCTTTATTGCACACTATACTGTGACATTTTTAGGGCACTTTTTTTTTGGACTCTCATCTTAGTATAAATATTCACTTTTAATTGAAAGCTTCCTAACATTCCTCTTTTTGGGGTCCCAGTAAAGGAGGACGATGCTGTAGGATTGCTGAAGTAATTAAACTGCAGGCTAGCTATCTCAGCCAGCATATCATGGTGAGTGTGCAGTATGAGAACAACAACGGAACTATGACATACATTTGTTTCCATGTGAAGGACCTTCATGTTTTGTGTGGAGCCCAATTGGGGCCTAATTGAGGCCAACTATTGTCATGCAAGGTTGTGCCCCAGTTAGCCCATATTACTATGTCCCACAAAATTTTAGGGAAAACTTGTAACTTGATTTTTCTGCAACTTTATAAGACTTTAACTCTTAAAGTTTGTTAGAAAAAGGAGGGTTTAAAGAGTAATTCCGCTTGAACAGGAAACATAATAACTATTATCTCAATGTGCTTCTCTGACCCATATTGAAAAGTAGTTTAAAATTTGACCCAAATACCTTTAACTTGAGTCTTTGAAATGTGGGCGACCAACACTAGCCTCATTCACTGCAAGACATAAATTGTTTATTTGTCACAACAGGATCTCCAAAGAAGCAGAGTAATCCACCATTTAAAGTTTCACTATGGTCCACACAACAAATAGGAGATTTGAGACCACAGCAAAAAGAAATGTATGCATTAGCTGGATTTTAAAAGCACTTACTGTCTGAATTATCAATCACATCTATCCTGTCTAAGGACATCATCATACCCAGAAGGGGGCAGCGTTACACTGCACTGTTAGAGGGCTGTCTCACTACTCTAATCCCATGGTCTAATAGACAATGCATGCAGCACGGAGAGTGCTTGCATTGTTTTCATGTAGTAAACTTTATGTTGAACTTCAACTCGATTTATGCCAGCACACAAATCATGCTGTATTTAGTTTTGACTCAGTGAAGTATGATGTAAAATATTGTGTGAAGTAGATGAAGACCTAACTCATGGGATTATGAAATGCTTCCAAACTCACTGCTGTCTTTGTTTAAAAAGTTTAACATGGGACAATCACCAATAATTATCACATAATAATAAAGTCTGCAGTTTTAGAATTTGGATTCAATTTGAATTTAGCAAAACAACATTGTTTTATGGGCCAAAACCAGATCAAGGATTAATGTCACATTTTTTTACTTCATCATTTATTTACCACAGCTGCAATGAATATTTGTATCATCCTGATATTTTAATTTTGCACATTGATTGTTTATCTCAGCCCCTAAAACAAGCCCCAACATCTTTTCAGATGTACATCTCTTCATGGAATCTGTCACTACCAATAAAAACCTAAAAAATTAGTGTACTATGTTTTTGATGCAAATGTACATATATACCCACTCACTCGTCATGATTTCCTTTTTCAGCTATTCGTATTCTTTCCTGTGAGGACGTGTGGCTGCATGCCGACATCCTGTATATCTGTGAAGGTAACCCGAGAGGTCAGGAAAGAGCCTGCCATTAGTAATGATGCTATTGGGGCAAAGCTGAAATCGGATGCAGTGAAATCATTTCTAAATTATTTCACGTCCGATTTCAGCTTTGCCCCAAAAGCATAATTTGTCATTTGTCACTGCTATCTGTTCAAGACTGACCTTCGTACAGTGTGTGCCATTCATTCAGAGTTGACCACCTCAGTCACATTCAGTTGAAAACTCCGTTGAAAATATAGAGACATAAACAGCAAATGCCTGTGAGATGATCAATCACTTCTTAAAGGAATGAAAAATAAAGAGTATATACAGTTTCACATTTGTATCCAAAAGATCAAACATTGATGTATTTACCACCTTAACTTAAAAAGTTCTAATTAAAGTTGGAATGTACCATGAAAATGAGATTGAAAATAGTGCGGCAAGATAAATACTTGTTTATAATTTGATAGGAAAGCATGTATCGTTTTATACTAAGCTAAATAATGAAGCTCCTCCTCCCAAATTGGTTTAAAAAGTATGTTACTGCATATTAATAGTGTCTACGCTGTCTCTATTATTGTCTGTACAAACAGGAGGAGGGAAAACAATCAATCGCTGTGCATGGCATCATCTTCCTGCGTTTGTGACTGCGTTTCGCCTCCTGGCATGTTTACAGTGCTGTGGATCTCGGCCTCGTGCTCTCTGGCTTTGGCCCTCAGCTTTGCAATGCTGCAGGAGCGGAGCTCATCTGAGCTCAGCCCCTCCGGCCTCTCCCACTTCCCCGACCTCTGGGTCACAGGCTGCATACGCACGCTCAGCGCAGCACTCACAGTTTTTGTCCATGGATAGTTTTCTCCTTCCTGTCGTCTCTCCCAGTGCTCGCCATTAGAACATTCCGTCTGCTGTTTTAAACTCCTGCTCGCTTTCTCAGGCGTTTCATCATTGTCTCTTTTTACATAAGGCCCTCCAAGCTGGCCCTGGACTTTCAGCTGCCGCCTCATCTTGGCACGGCGGTTTTGAAACCAAACCTAGAAAGAAATAAGGGAACACTAAATATAAATGATAGTGACGTAGAAATAGATAAATACACGTGTAACAGTGTAACAACTTGTAAAGGTTTGTTGCAGTTTCAAAATTACGGAAAAGATATTTGGCTCTAATATAAGGTCAAAGTTCAATAACCTTTTCCATTTAGCACTTAATTTAGGATATGTTCATATTTTAAGTCAACTGACATGACTATATCGCGAACAGTATAGACAAGCGGAACAAGTACAAAAACCAATGACTGTTTTAATATTCATAAAGGGATCAAAAATGAGTAAATGTTCACTAGGAAACAAACATGTCCAGAAAGAGCTCAGTGGGCCAATTACCTGTACTCTGGCCTCGATGAGGTCCAGTCTGAGGGCCAGGGCTTCCCTCATGAAGATGTCTGGGTAGTGGGTGGTCTCGAAGGCCTTTTCCAGCTCCTCCAGCTGCCAGCTGCTGTAGTTGGCCCGTGCACGACGCTGCTTCACTGGCCTCTGTTCATCTGGAAAGCACAGCGCAAGCACCAATTACACAATCGCCAACGGGTGACAAGGAACTAATGGCTCTAGATTGGATAATTAGCACAGCAATCATTAGGCACTTTAACACTGCTTGATAATTGATTGTTAGTTACGAGCTGTTAGCCAATCTTTTGTAAACATTTACACTGCGATCAGATGGTACTCACTGACTGTCTTAAAAACAGACTGTAGTTAAACTGTGCCAGTTTGGCTCTGCAGTCCTGTATCATTGGTCTTTACTGCCACAGCATGATGTAGTTTGAACTCACCTATGCCCTCTGTGAGTGGCCCCATCCTGACTGCCTGTGTGGCCAGGAGAAAAGCTTCCTTGCATGGCTCTGGCTGCAGATAATTCCTCAAGGATTCATAGCTGATAAAGGGCCCCGGGATCAGAATCTGAGGTTGAGAGCCCAGTCTGGTTGGGAATGCAGGGAAAAAGTGAGCTGCAGGTGAATGGAAAACTGCAGGCAGCAGAGTAGATACCAGTTGTCCTGGGCCAAACATGTCCATGCTGTTAAGAGCCCAATATTAAGCGTCGGTCCACTGAAAAGGGCCAGTCTGACTCCTACAGGGATGCAGATGTAATGGTGAAATGCATCCCAATGTCCATAAAAAGAATAGAAAACAGTTACGATTGTCCACTAGATGTATCTGTCCAGTTGGTGGTTAAACGTGCTGCATGTGGCTCAGCGGAGGGATTAGGTGTTGCCTTAAGAGTAAAGGTAACACTTGAGTAGTGGAGGTGGTCTCACCTTAGCTTTCTCTGCTTTCCCTCCAAATCCTCTCCCCCGCCTCTCCCAGTCACATGACCTCCAAACAGACAGCAGGGCTTGGTTTATAGGACGGAGGTGAAAATCCAACCTGTGATTCATCTCTCAGTGGATTATCAGTATTATTCCATCAGTGTTTGCTGTATTCGTCATTACGTTTTCAACCACAATCTGTTTCTTACATTTTAGTGATAGGATTTAAGTATCCCCTGCATGTTTCTCTCTCTGCCTACCTGGGACAAGTTGCAACATCTTTGGCTTCTGAAATTTGAATCAGTGAGACGGACAGGAGCTCAGTGTGTGGAAACCCAGTTGTGAAGATGAGTAATGCTCACTGAGACATGTTCGCCCTAAAGATTTGTACAACTCTTTTCTGATCGGTTTAACAGTTGTCAAGTATAATGAGAACAAACTACTGCAAAAGATACATAATGAAAGCACAAGTTGTTCAGTCCTGTGGGATGAAAACAAGCACAAAAGCAGCAGACCTGAACAGCAGGTTCCGGGATAAACACATTCCTCCAGACAATGAGACAAACCTGAAAGCTCATTTACTGAATGTTTATAATCCCTCCTAACTTTGTGTTCACTCTATTGCTGATTTAATTTTCTTGTTTTTTCTAAAGCTGTGATATCTATTTTCCACATAGCCATGATAGGCTGTATAAAATGATCACGTCTCTCAACTTAACGAGTAGCAGGAGCGTCAACACGCAAATCCTTTCTTCATGAGTAGAAATCCACTGGTGAAATAATAAACGAGCTAAACCAGGTGTAGTGAAAGTGTGACACCTGTAACAATAACAAACAACTAAATGATTGTGCTTTTCTACTACTGTAATACAAATGTGCATTTTGCATGGCATACTTTTAATCCTTATAAAACTTATGATTATACATTTATGTCATCTTTCATTTTGGAACATTAACAACACATAGTGCCTAACGTATGGATTTCTGGAAAAGGTAGCCACTGGCAACATCTCAAAGAAACAAATAAATAAATAAAAACAATAATAGCAGCAGTTATACCTTTGACAAAGGAAATTAAGTAACATTTTTTTTTCTTTAATGTATCCGCATTGTCTGATAGAGTCAGGAACTTTGTTAACGACCTTCATGGTTTTTCAGAATTTTTATTTACAGAGAAATTGATTTTTTTACACTAAGACTCGACTTTCAGGCTAATACATGAGAGCCACTAATGTTGGTCGACCCAAGTGCATACTTCAGCACAGATGTTGAATGTAGTTAAATTTAAACTGTCAACTCAAAATTATTGAATATGTGTTTTGTGGCATATTTTGGTATCAAACTGGAATAACAATATCTGAAACTTTCTAACATACTAACTAGCACAAGGTAGTATATAGACACTACTGTAGTCTAAGTGTTACCGTACACTTACAGGATTTTTCCATGTCAGATCAAAGCGTACACATCAACACATTATCAGCCAAGACAGGAAGCTTATTAACACTTTTTTTTCTATGAGCAAGGCAGCTGTAGCTTAGTGTTGATGGATCTCTGATGAGATGATCGCCCAGCACTGTCTACGTGCATTAAACACAGGTGTGTCAATTAATCCGAAGATACATATCACCTAACAACACATCTCGCTAACTGCTCATCCGCTCAGACGGCGGTGAAAACATTCAGCTGTCAGTGTTGTCACCGCTAAACTGGCAGGCTGAGGCGGCTTTGATCAGTCCGGGACCTCTGCAGCAGGCAGCTGGTCAGAGCTGAGGTGAGTCACGGGATGGTCATTCCTCTGCAAGCAGTGCGGACTGCAACTGCCTCACCTGTGGCCCTTTCATCTGCACCTGTTCAAACACTACACAAATGCCTTAGTTGAGGCAGTAAAGAGGTCAGTATTAGGGTTTGACCAACTTGGATTTGGATGTGTGGTTAAATGTTTTTACGTCAAAAGAATTACAAACATTTACAATTTCACCCATAATTTGATTCCTGATATTTAAAAAAAACTAAAATCGCAGCACTGCGAACATCATGGGACGCTTGAAGGCTCCAGTGAAACTTGACTAACAAAACATTTTTAGCAACTTGTAAGTTAGCCATATCCCGTCTTTATAATGACCTCGAAGCACATTACCGAGAAGGTGTATTTAATTAATAATGTAAATAATCCAGGCTCTGCATTTCTTTAATATAGGTGCATATAGGGAGGACCATCATCATTGGTGGGCAACATAACCAGCCGATTACAAAAAGCTTTTAGCACTTCAGTCAGTCTGTGTGAATGTGTGTGTGTGTGTGTGTGTGTGTGTGATGCAGGGTACAGACAGACAGAGATTAAAATAAATCATTTCTTGCGTTTTGTGAGTGCTGCGGGGAAAAGCAAAATAGATTAAAAGTGTCTTGTTTGAGCTGTGGCTAAATAAACAGTGTGTGTGGTGGGACTGACGACTGAATAGCCGTCTCCGTTTGTCCCTGGCACACAGGTAGTTACAGGGATTTCTGCTCTGTCTGAAAGTAGACCCCCTTCTCCCAACCCCCCAAACTACTGTGTTTGTCTGTGCCTGGGTCCTTTAATGCCCATTGATCCAGATAATCAGGGACAAAATTGGGGGGAAACCGGTGGGGGAGGGTCTGACAGTTGTTACTCAAAAGAGCTGCTTGTGGATAATTGAAGGAGGCATTAAGACAACAATAGTAATGGCTAATGGCCAGGCCTTATTGGTCTCTCAGGTATCTCTAGCTCCCTGGATGACAAGGCAAGACTGGAGATCCACAGCTAAAATGGCAATCATCGTATCATTAGCAGAGCTTCAACTGCAGGGACAGAATGTGCGTTATCTGTGGGTTTAGCAAGCCACCAATGGGATGCCCTTCAGATGGCTTTAGTTTGAAATGGACTTGTTTGAGCTTGCATTCATTCATTACAAAGTAGAGGGAAAGGGACATCTGAAATCCCCCTCAAATGTGTGTTTTTGGATCTCGGATATCGTAATTATTCTGAAATGTTGAAATACTTTTAAGTCCCTGTCCAATAAAGAGTGTGTTTTGCTTATTGTTGCATCACTTGGATGTTTGGCCTTTGCTGTGCAGAATGATGTATGTGCAGTTTGACAATAGAACTAGTTTGGAAGCCAATCACAATCCAATAACCAACAAACACAAGTGCGATGTGGAAACTTGAAGCCTCACATTGAATAATCTATCTTCTGGAATTTGTTGCAGAAAAGCACTTCCAATGAGTTGAAATGTGATTTAAATGATGAGGGCTATTTACTCCCTTTTCTCCTTGAAAGACATGGCTAAAGTGGATCAACTATCCCACTCTGCCCTCAGTGTGATAAGATACAATCTAACATAATGGAGATCGTGAGCACTGCACATTATTATTCTTTCTCATCCACTACAATGGCACTTTAGCTCATAAAGCAAGAGTTCTGCCAAATGTCATGCGAAGATGGATGATTATCGTCCGCTCCACTGTCATGGGAATATATCTATCTGGTGTAATTTGCAGGCTGGAACAGCAATGAGCACAGATAAGATCAATATTTAATGAAAGTGTAAGTGAAGCTTAAGGGTTGTCACTTATGCCTCTGCTGTTAATGACATGTCACATTATCAGACTTATCAGATTGGGTCAATCTTAACTGCAATTACTGGCCTCATTTCTTTTTAATTCATTACAAATGTTGAATCATTTCAGTCGTCCACTTCTGTGCAAACACACTGAGAATGTATTCTCCGACTGCTTGCATATGTTCTTTAGTGTCAACTGCCTGCACAAACTTCAAACTAAAATCTGTTAATGGGAGTGTGGATTGGTATAATTCAATCAACACACCTAAGATGTGTTTTTAACTTGGAAGAAAAGTGTATTTCATGGCTGAGGAAGCCCCTATGCTATGTGCCTCACTCTCCCTGGTAATAGTATCCCACAGTGAGCAGGCTGATTGTTTTAGTCCTGGATCACTGGCCATGGGATAAACCTGAGAGCCCAGCCTGCTTTTCATGTCAAAACCTTCAAGGGAAAGCGGCCACAATCCAAGAGCAATCACACTTGAGACATCAAAGTGCCAGAGAGAAGAGAGGCGAGAGACGGTCCACATTTTTTCCACGCAAGCCAAGTGCAACTCAAGCGTGGAGGAAGAGGAGATGATCTAAGGCGAGGGTGCCATTGAGAGGAAGACGGAGAGCAGACAGATGTGCATGGGCAGGTAGCGGCACATCGGGGCCCCTCCTGTAGCTGAGAGAGACACCAAAAAGCCTCCGCTGGTCGCATTCCTGCCCACTGCTCATTCACTGTCCACTTTCACATGGGCAGGAAGACCCGCTGACAGCCATATTTCACAATCTAACATTCCCGAGGTCAGCGCTGGAAGAAGTATTCAGATCCTTTACTCAAGTTCATGTACTACTCATACAACAATTTGAAGATACCCCATTTCAAGTGAAAGTCGTGCATTTAACATTTTATGTAAAAGTGGGGGGAAATACCAAGCACCAAATGTCCTTTCTGATGCAAAAATGTTGAAGAATTTTATGTTTTTAGCAGGTAAAGAAGGAGCTAATTGTATCAACAGTTTGGTAGTTTTGCCCAGTGGTTCCCAACTGAGGGGTTAGGCCCTCTACAAACAATCACAAGCTGAACTAAGGGGGTCATGAGATAATTAATGGGTCAGGAAAGATATTCATATTTTACACTTTTTACTATTCTTTGCTTTTTTTGTGAAATATTAGATTACTTTTGAAATGTTTGGTTCTCAAACTATCTAA